ATAGATTCGGCCATGCATGGAGAGTCTTTTTAGCAAAAGTTAATCTTTAAGCTTCTGATTTCGAAATAATTTTTACCGATATTCCAATTGTTATTTCAATTATATATCCATTTTAATTTTTAATTTTACCTGCAATTTTAATTATCACGATCCGAATATTTTATTATTGTATCAATTGGGACATCACTTTTTTCAAATAGCGACAACGTGACGTCCTGAATAATCGTTAACAATGCAATGGAATTTAATTACATTTACTTTAATTACGTTCACATAAATATTTAATTACGTCACTTATGAATGCGCAGCTTTGTGTCGAGTTAGACATCATATATGTCTGACAAAAGAAATCGCGATCGAAACAGTTCCTGATTTAGCAAAGCAACGCCAGCATAATAGCGTTTCCGTTTTCCTTCTACATACTCACTCTCCGTATACAGCTCAAACTTGTAATTATCATACCATAACCACATTTGACAGCACTATTTATCGCACATTACAAAGACTTAGATATGTGAATTGGATGATAAATAATATGCCTTAGCTATCTAAACTTCGCAGAAAAATTCTTATGATTAAATATTTAAAAATGTTTATTGTTCAAAAGCACTTCTGCAGCCACGTTTTGCATAAAAAAACTATCTTATTCATTTTATTATAACTATTACGAAGAATTTTTGCTTTTTTTATTATTATTATTCCATTATTATTTTCATAAGGCAGAAAATAATAATTATAATCAAATTAGAATAAAATATATTTACATATATTTTTTTTCTTAATCTGAAAATGTGTAATTTATATATAAATAAGAGATAATATAAACACATTAATTTTATCACTACGCACATCCTGGTAATGAGAAATAAATTCGTGCATTATGGAACACCATTACCAATTTAGTAATATAGTTAAAAACTGAAGAAAATCAATGTAAATAGATATTTACCAGAGCGAACAAGAAGCTATCAGTTGCATCAGGACTATTCGTGGTTAAAGTTTTTCAATCTCGGTTTTACGAGATACCAAAGAGAGGGTTACATAATCACCCGCGTCCGTCGCGGACGAAAAATTTTACAGCATGCCGTGATCCATCGCCGGTAGAAAACCAGCCGAGACATTCGATCTTTGGTCAATAAACTCACCCCGGTGGTTTCCCATCAATTTCACCAAAATCGGACCTGATATCGATGATACCAACTCCGTCCTTCACGATGGTGCCATCTTTGCATTGATAATAGGGCACGCATTCGCAATCGTCTGGTTTCGAAGGTGTCTGATTGTTGGTGCCGAGGATGAGATTTCTGGGGGTGGTGGTGGTGGTGAGGTTTTGGAAGACGTCTTGGATAATACTATCGAGATCGCCGCCTATCGGAGACACCGCTGGAGCCGGAGAGGTTGGCCTTAGTTGGTCAATGAGACCGCCGAGGCTACCTTTGTCTTCTTGCGCCGCGGGCAACGCCGTCACCGAGATCGCGCCGACCAAGGTCAACGTGGAAACCACATCCAGTCGCCACATGATTCGCGCCAAGGATTTTTGGCCGATCCACCTAAAGCAGGCACAAAAAATGATTTAATATCGAAGACGACATCACCTCGCGAAAACGATCGCACTTAAATCGATCGATTTTACGATGGCTTCGCCGCGATTCGGCGCGACGGCGCGGTCAGAGAAGATATCTTCTTCTTCGTGGATATAAATAGCGATGATGACACAGCGGTGCCTCACGGTCGTTGTAAACATCAGTAAATGGAAGGAAATAAATGCAAACAGTGGCTCATGAGGAACTTTAATCACTTTGGCTTTCGTGCAGTGATTAACGTGGGGCAATTTAGTCTTCGGTAACTCTCGGCTATCATCGAGAAACATTATTGAGTTAAAAAAAAAATGCGCTTGAACAGATAACGTGTTTACTCAATGTCAATCGAATAAAAGATGTATACGAAATTTACGTTTGGAAATATTCCAAATATCATCTTGCGAACAATTAAAGATGTGTGAAGATGCAGTAAAAAAATATTTTCTACCTCAATTTATTACAATCGAATTTATTTATACAAATATAAAAACTTTTCTGTCATGAAAAATATTAAAAAATATATTAGATTTCGAAAATTACATTATAAATATATCATCGTAAATATAAAATAATGAAAAGAGTTAGTAAATTATGTGTAAAGTTTTTCTACTTTTTAGAATTCCCCGAGTTGTTGTATACAAAACTAAATTATACTGTGTATTTGATTATAATTAAAAATTTAATAAGTTATAAAAATATTGATAAAAAAAGATACAAACTTTGAATAAATAACAAAAACATAATATTGAAATTATATGTGTAATTATGTAATGAATGTTAATATACTAGTTGGTTTTCACCAATTAAAATTAATATTCTTTGATGTGATCTATATAAAGCATTATAAATTTTATTTCATAAAAAATATTAGTATATAAAGATTCTATTCTTATCTTCTTTCTAAAATATCTTTTTATTTATAATAGAAACAATAAAATTAATCTTTAATTTGATACTAAATTCGAAAGAAGATCGATACCTGACCTTTTCTCGAATAAGGAAATGCGTAATTTTGCCTAAAAATTCGTGGCTATAAAATATATGCGTCGAAACAATTTAAATGCATAATTATTCAGTATGATAATGTTTGATGTTCTCGCATAACATAAATATTATCTTCCAAGGCACTTCCTCAATGAAGATGTGCTCAGATATGCGTCATCGTATGAAAATATTTTCCTCATTTTGTTTAAGCGCATAAATTCTGACGATTGAGAATGTTTTGTCGTTTATTGTCGAGCATTTGACGTTTTCTTACCACGTGAATCTCTCATCTTGATACTTGATTCAACCGAAACGTTGAAATTATACGATAACGCGACAGCACGTTGTATAACAGTTTTAGTTTAGTCGTCAAATCTTACGATATAGTTATTTAAAATCACCTGCACTGACCTTTTTCGGATAGTCAAGATTATCAACATATTTATATCGTTAAACCGGTATTATTTCTTTTCCCGAACTATTTATATTCAGAAATTGCAAAAATTTTATATCATGAAATTAATAAAAACTAGCATCCGCTATTACACGATGATTTTACATATAATTTATAATCACGATTATAAATATATAATTACATAAATTAATATAATAAATGTGATTGTATGCCGAAGTAGAAAAGCCAAAATTGACATTTCATCGTAATTATAAATAAAATAATTATAAATTAAATCATAATTAAATCATAATTATAAATTAAATAATAAAATATTTTTGTTAGAATTTAGATCACGTAACAAGATTCTATAAAATATTTTTCTTTCAAACAAACGTCCACAAGCTTTGTCACTGATTGAGAGCTTTGTCACTGATTGTCATTTAAAGGAGCAGAAATTCGAGAGAAGCAAATCCAGCTAGATCGATCAAATTTAGCGTAATACTTGCCAGAAGGAAATTCCGAATTCCGACGAACAACCTTCCACTCGGAGCAACGGTGCCGGATTAGCAACCGACGGTTCTGAGTGGAGAATCTTGATTTCCGCGCGTACATTCACAGGATCCCTACTCCAAGCACATTTATCATTATCCCCACTTTTCTTGTTGTGTTATTAACTACTTCAGGACTGGGAGAACCGGCATTTCCCACCTTGAGATCGACGTGATTTTCTTGGAATTAACAACGAAACTCATGTAAAATACAAAAATCCCCATTCTTATGACGCATATCGCATGAAAAAATTTCTTGAGAATAAATATTTTAACCCCCAACTGGAGTCAGGTCAAATCAACTGAATCCTTCAGACCCTCGTATTCCAAAGGATTCTTTAAAAGAAGATAGATGAGTTTTTTTCCAAAAATGTCCATTCTGATCCTATTTCTGATCCTAGACTAAATTATAGTGAAAAGTAAAAATTCATTTAACTATGAAATAAATTTGAAAGCAATCAAGTCTAAGATATACACGACGAAGAACTGACTTTTTTATCTTTTAATTCCTTTCAGTTGTGCTCATCGTCCAAGAATTCTCAGACTTAAAATTCTTCACTTTTGAGTTAGTGCCCTGGTGCCTAAACAGTCCTGAATAAATTCTTTCAGTTCTCAGACAAATTAAAAAAGTTGATTTATTTTTTTGGAAAGAACTGTTAGTCTATAAATGTCGCAGTAACAAATTTAAAGAGATCGCTTGAAGGTAACGATTTAGATATATGATTTTCTTTAAAGTAAATCGCAATTCGGTTAGTAATTAATGAATATACATAAGGAATCTACATCACATACAATGTTGACAATACCCATGAATTCTTACTAAACGATTATGACATTATATAACGCATTTCGCATATATTCAACGCACTGGAACTTGCCAGTTTTTTTGGTGTTAAGGTCAGGTATATATGAACGAGTCTGATCATTCTTTAAAATGCATGAAGCTAACGGTGGGTATTCGCCGTGACATTTCTCCAAGATATTATGATTTATAGCTTGCCATAAAAAAAAAAGGAGAAAGGAAAAGAGAAAGAGGAAAAACAATGACAATAAATATGCGATTTTTAATCTAACTTGAAAAATTGTAGAAATTAAAGGAAAACCGCAGATTTAAACAATATGAAAATGACCTACACTATTCTTTTTCTCTTTTTTTTTATATCAACGCGTAATAATGCCATTTTCTTTTTCTTAAAGCTGATAAGAATAGCCGAACACAAATATAATGTTAAACAAACAGTATATCTTAGCCTATTTGTCTAATGTCTTATTAGAGGAAAAACTTATGTTAAAAATGGGTATACAGTCGACAGCATGTCATTTAAACATCATTAATGACGCACAGAGCAAGATCGTCGATGCAAACAGAGATTGTCGGAATTGTCGCGCTTCACTGTTGGTTGCACGCGATTCAGATGACAGGTAATACCATCATTGTATTGTTCGCAAGTGTCGCAATAATATTTCATTTGGCGCTATATCTGCTCGGAAGTGCCGGTTACCATTCCCATTTCATCGAATGCGAGAAATATAAACGACGCCTGTCACCTCAAACCGCTCTCAATGCGAAAACATGGATGAGTTGAAGGAATCTATTTTCGCGAAGTAATCTTTTTTTTTTTTGAGATTGCTATTCGATTGCTCGATCGAAAAACAAGTTTCTGCTCTCTCTCTCATAATTCTTTCGCGATTACGAAAGCGATTAACAAGGCTTACGTACTATTTGCAGTATAACAACTTGAAAGGATTTCAAAGTATTCTGTAATATCCAAAAGATATTATCGTTAGCGATTATAATTAATTGTTAACAGGAAGTCATGAATACATAGCTTGATTAAACAGTTGTTTCTTCATCGAAAATGCGAACGAAGCTACATCATTGATAATTATTTCCTACACACAACGTCTTCAAAAAGACGACGAAATGACCAAATACAGTGGAGGAGTATTCTGAAATACTTAATTTCATTTCGTAATGCTGCATTGCTTAACCAGTTCTAACGAGACTAATATTTTTTTGACCAGAGATAACAAAATGTGCTGAATTGGCTGCACATATAAAAAACCATTTATATTTTAAATTATGAACTTATAAGTTCATCAATTATGAACTTATGAGTTCTCAAAAAAGTCATATAAAGGATTTTTACATTAATTTTACATTAATAAATATAAATTAATCTGTATTACGTCTATATAAATCATAGTTTTACGTATCCCGTCGAAAAAAATTCTAATATTAGATTTGTCTTCAATTTTCAAATCGTTTTAAAATTCAAATCTGTTTCTCCAATTTTACAAAAATTAAATTCTTAAAGAATACATGAAATAAAAAGTCTTTAAATAAAAAATAAAATAAGAAAAGAAATAAGAAGTCTTTAAATAAAAAAGTTAAACTGTGTGATAAGAAAAGTTCAATTTCTGTCGCGATAAATGTAGCTCTTACATATCATTATCGCATTATTATTGTATTATTAAAAATCGAATCTCAAAATTGTGCTAGAAACAATTCAAATATACATATAATTAGAAAGGATATTATCTTCGTCTTAACTTTTTGTATATTATTTTCTTAAAATTATTGTTATAAATTGATTCAACCAAAAAATTAATTCACATATTAAAGATTCTATTAATATTTCATTACAAGCAGATTGGTATATTTTTCATTTTATTATGACATTGTGTTTAATAAAGTATATATTTAATTTTTCAAAGAATATTACTGGAATGAGTCTTCTACTCAATTCTGCGATTCTGAAGTCAGTTCTTCCAATAGCCGTGATCGTCTAGTGGTTAGGACCCTACGTTGTGGCCGTAGTAACCCAGGTTCGAATCCTGGTCACGGCAATGTGAAAACATTGTCACGGTGGAAGTTTTTTTTATTATAAATCAAATTATACATTTTTGGAAAAATTATAATCAAATTATATATCTAAATACATCAAATTATATATTTAAAAAAATGAAACATTTTTACAAAATAATTAATCAATTTTCTGCACGTGTCTTGTGGAGAGCAACTATCAGTATCGACTGTCTGTTTCTTAGATGTATAATAAAAAAAAGATATAAACAAATATATTACAGCAAAAATATAAACTTTTGTAAAATATTGTAATTATCGTTGTTATACACGATGATCTTATTAAAAATACTTTGCTATATTATTTATTACAGTTTTCTCAATCGAAATATATATATTTTATTATTAAAAATTTTTTTATTTACTTGTCACGAACATCACGCTCAGTTTCAGACCTCTAGTCGCTCAGTTCTTCCAATAGCCGTGATCGTCTAGTGGTTAGGA